TAAGATTGTAACCTCAGAGGAGGGGCCAAGGCGTCGGGATAGAATGTATATAATGTGTGTCTTTGTTGTGACTAGGTGTGGCTCAAATATTTATTTGGAGTCCACCACGCTTTGCAAACCGTTGTATCCAATAAATCTCTGTCTAATTTCAACTTGCTGTTTGGTGTTATTCAGTGGGCTAGAATTTCTACCAACAGAATGAGACTAAGTGTCATGTCTAATAGCTGGGAGAATTACAGTTCACCGAAGCAGAAATGAGAACCTACTTAAAGTCAGGCTGAGAACAATTTTTTTCAACTGAGTATTTTCCATGAAATACTAAAGTTGTTTTAAATACGTCACCGTTCCTTGTATTTTACAAGATTAGAAGAGAGTGTCAGGCCCTATTCTGAATGTCCTGTATTTATTGTGTCATTTTATCCCTCTTTTCCTCAAAGAAGCCCCAAGGGGAGTGAATATTTTTAGAATATTTCCCTCCCCTGTTTAAGCTTATCTGTGAGATAAACTGATCATTGGTGACTGAAATGATAGGTTTGAGGGGGGATTTTTAGCTGGTTTCCCCTTATTCTAATCCACCTTTGAACAAACTGGGAGGGTGAAAGGCAGCCAGCCTCCATGTTTAAAGGCGATCTTCTACCAAATACAGGTAGTTCCCACAGTTCAGCCCAAAATTTATGTTTGCCTGATTTTATGACCTTTCTTGCCGCATGTGTTAAGTGAATCACTGCAGTTGTTAATTTTGTAACACAGTTGTTAAGTGAATCTGGCTTACCCATTGACTTTGCTTGTCAGAAGGTTGCAAAAGGGGATCACGTGACCCCCAGGACACTGTAACCTTCATAAATATGACTTTATTGCCAAGTGTTTGAATTTTGATCACATGACCACAGAGATGCCACAATGGTTGTAAGTGCGAGGACTGATTCTAAGTCATTTTTTTTCAGTGCCATTGTAACTTTGAACCATCACTAAATGAACTGTTGTAAATCAAATACTTGTTCTCTGGCTGAGAAAGGCACTTTTGCTTTTCCCCCCTCTTATTTTGGGCCTCCTTGGAGGCATCTAGCTATGAGGTAGCCATTTGAGGCAACTCAGACAAAAAGCACTAACCACGAGCCCTAAGGCTACCTTTACAAGTGGTCCTCAGCTTAATTTAGTGACTGTTCAAAGTTACAATGGCACTGAAAAAAGTGACTTACAACCGGTCCTTGCACTTACAACCATCGTTGCATCCCCATGGTTACGGGATCCAAATTCAGGCACTGGGCAGCCAGCATGCATTCTGTGAGGGTTGGAGAATCCTGCAGTCATGTGATTGCCACAACAAGCAAAGTCAACGGGGGAAGCTGGATTCCCTTAATGACTGCACTTAACAACTGCAGTGATTCCTTTAACAACTGAGGCAAAAAAGATAATAAAATCCAGCACGGCTCACTTAACAACAGCCTTATTTAGTAACAGAATTTCTGGCTGCAATTTTGGTTGTAAGTTGAGGGACAACCTGCATTGTAAGGTCACAGTAACAGAATCTTGCAAATCTGAAAGTATCTCTCCCAATGTGGAATTCAAATATGTGAACAACCGGTTCTGTGTGTGATGCCGCTTCCGGAAATCCATTCTGGGCCTGGGCAACAAAAAATTAGCTACCGGTTCTGCCGAAGTGGTGCGAACCGGCTGAATCTCACCACTGCTCTCTCCCTTTCTTTACTTTGCTGAAAACAAGGGAGGGTCCCTTCTGAGATGCTATCGCCACCCCATCTCTATTCTGGACTCAGATTGCTCTCATCAGTCTAAGCTGCAGCATTTCCTTCTGTCTCCCAAGATCAAACATGCATATTATTAGACCCTGGAGGCAATTCTGAGGGCTCTTCATCTTAAATTCATTTGGATAAAAATAACAGATGTAGGAATTGTAGCAAAAGTTGGCTATTCAAGTATTTGTGCTGGTTCTAGTGAAGACCAGCTCTTCAGTCAGAGGGAGAGAGAAATGCTACAGGTAGTCCTTGACTTACGACTACAATTGAGTGCAAAATTTCTTAATTTTGTTAAATGAGTCATTTGTAAAATGAGTTTTGCCCTATTTTACGACCTTTCTTGCTACAGTGGTTAAGTGAATCACTGCAGTTGTTAAGTTAGTAACACGGTTGTTAAGTGAATCTGGCTTCCCCCACTGACTTTGCTTGTCAGAAGGTTGCAAAAGGGGATCATATGATCCCAGGACACTGCAACCGTCATAAAGATGAACCAGTTGCCAAGCATCCAAATTTTGATCATGTGACCATGGGTGTTATGTCCTGGGCCTGCTGAGTCACTCAGCAGGTGCAGGAGGCTGCAGAGAGGCCCGGGCAGACCACGTAAATGCCCGGGACCAGACAGGCTGTCTCCCGCCTTGTGCACATGCGCAAGGCAGGAGAAATGCCTTGCATTGATTGGCTGATACTGTCCCTGCAAAGGGGTATAAGAGCAATCTGCACCATTTTGTTTTTGGTTCTGTTGTGAATTGAATAAAGACAAGACTGCTTGTTACTCCTGCCTTGTCTCAATGCCTTTTACTTGGAAACAGAACATTGGCGATGAAGGTGGGATGTGCTGCAAGGAAAACAACGAAAGAAGATAGGCTGACTCACCAAGAGAGGCCTGAAGCGCTGGGAAGTTCGGCGTCTGGAGAGTGTGACTCTGCCTGCCAGTATGAAAACCCTGGAGGAGAGCTCGGCAAAAGGAACCCCTTCTCAACCTTTGCAGCATGAGGCATTGACGAGGCTACCGGGCAGTAATGATGTCCAAACTAAGCCATCTCTCTGAATTTGACACAGCTCATCTGGAACGCTGGAGTTCTTACGTGGCCCGGGTAGAGAACTACTTTCGGGTAAACCGAATCCGAGAAGACGGTCTTAAAGCTGCTATACTGCTGTGTGTCTGTGGGCAAGAGACTTTCGATATTGCAGAGAATCTGGTCACCCCAGCAGCACTTGAATCAATTGCTTATGCTGAGCTGAAAAGAATGCTGCGAGAACATTTTGAACCAAAGCTTTCGGTGATTGCATGGCGACACGCATTCGAGCAGAGGGACCAGAGGCCTGGTGAGTCTGCTGCGGACTTTATTGCTGTGTTACGACAAGCAGCTAGTGTTGCAAATGGTCCCGGGCAACCGAAAAGCTGCCCAGGACCAGACTGGCTGGCGCCGGACTTGTGCGCATGCGCAAGGCGCGAAAAAAGGTTCTTCCCTATTGGCTGGACTGCCTGGGTTTGGGAGACTATAAAAGGCCTGCATGCCTGCTTGGTAGTGAGTTGAGTTGAGGAACGAATAAAGAAGTACTTAATTACAACATGTGTCTTGCTTCAATGCCGCGAACTCCAAAACATAAAAGTGGCGATGAAGGTGGGATCGCTGCAAGGAAGAAGGCAATAAGAAGAGGGTAAGCCTCATCTGAAGAGCCTGAAGCCTGGGAAGTCGGCGTCCAGCTCTGCACTCACCTGCCAGTACAGCATCGCTGGAGGTGAGCTTGGCAAACGGGCCCTTCCCCCAACGAAGGCTTGCAGCGAGGCATTCCGAAGCTGAAGATGTCGAAGATAGGACGCTTGTCGGAATTCGACGTTTCTCACCCGGAGCGCTGGAACTCCTATGTGGCCCGGGTAGAAAATTACCTAAGGGTTAACCAGGTCCGGGAAGACGGCCTGAAAGCGGCAACCCTGCTGTGCGTCTGCAGTCAGGACACCTTCGACGTGGCCGAAAACCTGGTAGCCCCTGCACCGCTGGAGTCTGTCACCTACACAGACTTAAAAAACATGCTGAAGGATCACTTCCATCCCAAACTGTCTGTAATTGCGTGGAGGCATGCTTTTGAGCAGAGGGACCAGAAGCTGGGTGAGTCTGCTGCAGAATTCATCGCTGCCTTGAGACAAGCTGCCAGGCCTTGTAAATTCAAGGACCTGGAAGAACGCTTATGAGACCGCTTCGTCTGCGGCCTTAGAAGCAGAGTGCTGCAACAAAAAATCTTTGCTAAAGCTGAAGTCACTTTCCAAGATGTCTTGCGCAAAGTTGCAGCTGAAGAAGCAGCAGGCGGTGCTGTGAAGGCCTTGCGGCTCGCAAGAAATGCTCCAGCCGTCGCGACCGTCCATCAAGAGGTCACTCAGGAAGTTCCAGACCTGGATCCTGAAGAGGAGGTGGACAGACTTCACCAGCCTGCGGTAAGAAGGCCGCGAGAGAAACCAGACAAGGCCCCAGCAGCCCTTCAGTGTCTCGGTTGCGGAGGACGCCACAAGCGCACGGACTGCCGGTTCCGCTCCGCCATTTGCCGGGCATGTGGTAAGCAAGGCCACATTGCCACCGTTTGTTTGGGTCCCCAGCAGGTGCAACCTCGGGAAGAATTCCTTCAGAAAGGTACCAGGGTCCCCAGCCAACACAGGGTGGGTTTCTGCGCATCGCGTAGAAGCATTTTGCGGACAGGGACACACAAGCCCCTTAAACAGAAACTTCGCATTGATGTGAAGTTACAAGGGATTCCCTTATCGATGGAGCTGGACACCGGGTCCACTCTATCGATCATTTCAAACAATACCTTTAAAAGGATTTGCAGCAGTAGTGGCCTTCGAGTCAAACTCAGGCCATCGAACTTAATTCTTACTGACTTTCAAAATTCAAGGGTTAATGTACTTGGAGAAGCCATGCTCAAAGTGCAGCATAAGGCTTTCCAAGGCCTATTAGATGTGGTGGTGGTTGGGGGTGATCGTACGAGTCTAATTGGACTCGATTGGTTCGAGGCCCTGGGAATCCAGGTAACTGGCCTACACAGCCTGCAAACTACAGGAATTGCAGAAGTCTGCAGAGAGTTTGTGGATGTGTTTAGTTCAGAGCTTGGTTCATACAAGGGGCCTCCCATTGCCCTGCGGTTAGACCCAAACATCACACCGGTTAGGATTAAGCCTAGGAGGGTGCCCTTCGCCCTCAAGGGCAAGATTGATGCTGAGCTGGACAAGCTGCTCCAGCAGGGCATCTTGGAACCTGTGGACTCCAGTACATAGGAAACCCCCATTGTAATGCCTTTAAAGGCTAATGGGGAAGTCCGAATTTGCGCGGACTATAAATGTACTTTGAATACAGCTTTGCAACAGCATGCATATCCTAAACCAGTAGTGAGTCATATTCTGGCCTCCCTCAAAGGGGGAAAGCTGTTTGCAAAGCTTGATTTAGCACAGGCCTAGCAACAGCTACCTGTTGATGAGGCAACTGCTGAGGCCCAAACAATAGTGACCCATAGGGGCGCTTTTAAGGTAAAAAGGTTACAATTTGGGGTGAATGTTGCTCCTGGCATATTTCAGAGAATCATGGAGCGCACGCTCAGGGGTATTCCGGGGGTGTGCCCCTACTTCGATGACATCCTCATCGCAGGGGAGTCATCACAGAATTTGGCTGAGAGGTTCCGGGCTGTGTTGCTGAGGTTCCGCCAAGCGGGCCTCAAATTGAAAAAAGACAAATGCAAAATTGGAGTTACTTCCACAGAATTTTTAGGCTTTAAAATAGATGCTCAAGGCATCCACCCTGCAGAATCCAAACTGAAGGCCATTCGGGAGGCCCCAAGTCCCAAGTCTAAAAGTGAGCTTCAGGCTTTCTTGGGACTTCTCAACTTCTATCATGCTTTTCTTCCCCATAAGTCTGCAGTGGCTGAGCCATTACACCGGCTCTTAGATAAGAAAGCTCCATGGTAGTGGACTAAGGTCCAGGACAGGAGTTTTAAAGAGGTCAAGGCCTTGCTCTTATCAAATGCTGTATTAACACATTTTAACGAGCAACTGCCTGTGTGCATCGCTTGTGATGCATCCCCTTATGGGGTGGGTGCAGTACTCAGTCACCTGAAGGCTGATGGGACACAAGTCCCTGTGGCTTACTACTCAAGGACTCTGTCATCTGCAGAGTGGAATTACGCTCAGATTGACAGAGAAGCCTTGACCATAGTGGCTGGCATAAAGAAATTCCATGATATCTTATATGGCTGCCACTTCATGGTCTATACAGAGCACAAGCCTTTGCTGGGGTTGTTTACAATGACCAAACAAACCCCACACATCATATCCCCACGTATGCTGAGGTGGTCCATTTTCCTGTCAGCATATGACTACACGCTCATTCACAAACCTGGGAAAGAAATGGGCCATGCCGATGGCCTCAGTAGGCTACCTCTCACACAAATAGAGGCAGATCCTGCACCTGCTGTTAATATTCTCTCTATTCAGGAACTGCCTGAATCTCCCCTCAATGCTAGGGACGTGGCTGCAGAAACTGCCACTGATCACACGCTTACACGCGTGCTGACATGGGTGTTGTCAGGATGGCCTGACACATGTCCAGATGCTGCGTTTCAAAGCTTCTGGCTAAGGAGGCACGAACTGTCTACATTTAATGGGTGCCTGTTATGGGGTAGTAGAGTAGTTATCCCAGCCTCACTGAGGTCTAGAGTCTTGTTATCTCTGCATGAGGGACATCCGGGCATTGTGCACATGAAAGCGCTTGCACGCAGCCATCTTTGGTGGCCTGGGCTTGATAAAGCTATCGAGGCCCAGGTGCACGGGTGCCAGGTGTGCCAACAGTCATGGCCTGAAATGCCTCAGGCCCCTGTACACAGGTGGGAGGAGACACAAACCCCTTGGTCAAGGGTACATTTAGATTATGCTGGGCCCTTTCAGGGGCAATTCTTCCTTATCCTGGTGGATAGCCATTCCAAGTGGCTAGAGGTTGTACCTGTCTCCTCCACTACTACTGCTAGGACCATCCAGGTGTTGAGAGGAATCTTTGCTACCCATGGACTTCCTGATGTCCTCGTCTCTGACAATGGCCCCCAGTTTACTTCTCTTGAGTTCCAGGCTTTCCTACAGGCCAACTTGATCTGGCATGCAATGTCAGCTCCTTTCCACCCTTCCACCAACGGGCAAGCTGAACGGATGGTACATACCACCAAAGATGCACTCAAAAGAATCACACACAGGTTAGCAGATTTTCTTCTTGCACACCGCACCACACCATGCACTGCCACTGGAAAGAGCCCAGCTGAACTCCGCTGGGGTCGACGCCTCATCACAAAGTTGGACAGACTGCACCCAGACCGGGTGGCTTCACAGGTGTCACAGCCGCTGGCACCTAGGAGGCTTCATGTGGGTGATCCGGTCTGGGCAAGGAATTATGGTCCTGGACATATGAAGTGGCCTTGGGCGATGGATGCGTCCTTCGGCGCCATATTGACCAACTGCGCTGGCGGTTGTCCAACAACGTTTCTGCTCCTGGCTCTGCTCTCGGGGGGGGAGGAGGGCCATCAATTGCATTCTGGGCCTCAGTCTCCCAGCTCCAGCGAGTTCTCACATGCTAATGCACAGGGTCCAGTGACTGAATGGGGGCATTCTCAGGATTCAGCTATTGCTCCAAACAGGGAGTCTCCAAAAAGGGGGTCATTCCGCACATCAGTTATTGCTCCAGACAGGGAGTCTCACCAGGGGTATCCACACAATACAGCAAGCGCTCCAAACAGGGAGCCACAAAAGAGGGGGTTTGCCATGGAGGCGGCTTCTGACTCTGGCACCTCGGCCACATACACGGGGGACTGGGACTACTGGGGCACTTCTGCAACACAGGCCACTTCCGATGCTGGTCGTGGGCTCGAGGGACAATGTAGACTTGGAGAATTCCACTCCACCATTGGGCTTGGGGAATTCCACCCCTCCGAGGAAACCTGGCTTGGATTCAGAGGATCCAGCCAGTCAGCAGCAGAGTGGGTCACCTGGAATTCTAAGGCATCAAAGTCCTGGTCTATCGAGCCCACCAGACGGGCAGGTAGGCCAGGCACCATTAAATAGAAGTCCTGGTCTGCCTAGACTGGCAGGCGAGCTGTCAGGCCAGGCACCCTCCCTGACCCTGCGACGGTCACAAAGGGCCAAAGGGCCACCTAAATACCTTAAAGGTTATGTAAGGTTACTATCAGTCCAAAGGCCACCTTACTAGTCAAAGAATTATGTTCCACAAAGTGGTTGTTGTAATTATTTTGTTAAAAGTTTATTTGTTATTATTATGAGCTAGTATAAAGTGCTCTGCCTATGCGCAGTAAAAGAAACTTGTGTTTAACACTTATCCTGTCCAAGACACCTGTATTGGGCTATTGTGGCGTGTTTCATCCAGGGGGGAGGGGTGTTGTGTCCTGGGCATTTCAGCCGGCCCAGAAATGTTGTAAATGGTCCCGGGCAACTGAAAAGCTGCCCGGGACCAGACTGGCTGGCGCCAGACTTGTGCGCATGCGCAAGGCACAAAAAAAGGTTCTTCCCTATTGGCTGGATTGCCTGGGTTTGGGAGACTATAAAAGGCCTGCGTGCCTGCTTGGTAGTGAGTTGAGTTGAGGAACAAATAAAGAAGTACTTAATTACAACATGTGTCTTGCTTCAATGCCGCGAACTCCAAAACATAAAAGCTAGGCCATGCGAATTCAAGGATCTGGAAGAGAGACTTTGGGATCGTTTAGTTTGTGGACTGAGAAGTCGTGAGCTGCAACAGAAGATCTTCGCAAAGGAAGACGTCTCTTTCCAAGATGCCTTGAGGGAAATTGCAGCCGAAGAAGCGGTGGGCGGAGATGTGAAGGCCTTGCGGCTCACCAAGAACCCTCCAACTTCTATCTCCGTCCATCAAGAGGTCATGCGAGAAGAATCCAAACAGGATCCAGAGATGGAGGTGGACCGCCTACAGCAGCCAGCGGAGAGAAGGCCTCAAGAGTGCAGAGACAAGGCAACCTCATTCCCTTGGTGTTTCGGATGTGGAGGACGCCACAAGCGCTCCGATTGCCGTTTCCGCTCCACCATTTTCCGGGCACGTGGTAGGCAAGGCCACATTGCCTCCGTCTGTTTGGGTCGCCAGAAGGACCGGTCTTCGGAAGAATTGCTTCAGAAAGGTACCAGGGTCCCCAGCCAGAACAGGGTGGGTTTTTGTGTGTCCCGTAGAAGCATTTTTAAAACCGGGGCCCATAGGCCGCTTAGGAAGAAGCTTCACATTGACGTGAAGTTGCAAGGGGTTCCTTTATCGATGGAGTTGGACACAGGGTCCGCTTTATCGATCATTTCCCAAGACACTTTCAAAAAGATTTGTTGTAGAAATGGCCTACGAGTTAAACTCAGGCCTTCAAATTTAATTCTTACTGACTTCCAGAATTCCCGAGTCAGCGTGAAGGGGGAGGCCACGCTCAAGGTGCAGCACAGGAATTTTGAAGGGTTGCTAGATGTGGTGGTAGTTGGGGGTGATTGCACGAGTCTTATTGGACTCGATTGGTTCGAGGCCCTTGGAATCCAAGTGACTGGACTTCACAGTTTGCAAATGACAGGCCTTGCAGAAGTTTGCAAGGAGTTTGCTGATGTGTTCAGTTCAGTACAAGGGGCCTCCCATTGCTTTACGTTTAGACCCAGCAGTCACACCCATTAGGATTAAGCCCAGACGGGTGCCCTTCGTGTTGAAGAACAAGATTAATGCAGAGTTGGACAAGCTGCACCAGCAGGGCATTTTAGAGCCTGTGGACAGCAGTCCATGGGAAACCCCCATAGTCACGCCACTGAAGGCCAATGGAGAAGTCCGAATTTGTGCTGACTATAAGTGTACACTTAACAAAGCATTGCAGCAGCACTCGTACCCGGTGCCAGTGGTGAGCCACATTCTGGCCTCCCTCAAAGGAGGCCGCGTTTTTGCCAAACATGACTTGGCTCAGGCCTATCAACAATTACCAGTTGATGAGGCAACGGCAGAGGCCCAAACAATTGTTACGCACCGGGGAGCATTTAAAGTTAAAAGGCTGCAGTTTGGGGTTAATGTAGCCCCTGGCATTTTCCAGAGTGTGATGGAGCGAACACTCTGCAATATTCCAGGCATTTGCCTGTACTTTGATGATGTCCTCATCGCTGGGGAATCATCTGAAAATCTGGCTGAAAGGCTTAGAGCTGTCTTGCTGCGTTTCCACCAAGCGGGGCTGAAGCTAAAGCAAGACAAATGTAAGATTGGAGTCACTTCCACAGAGTTTCTGGGGTTCCGTATTGATGCTGAAGGCATCCATCCTGCTGAATCTAAGCTTAAAGCAATTCAGCAGGCCCCAAGTTCCAAGTCCAAAAGCAAACTTCAGGCTTTTCTGGGACTGTTAAACTTTTACCATTCATTCCTCCCTCACAAGGCTGCAGTGGCTGAGCCATTACACCGGCTCTTGGATAAACAGGCTCCATGGCTGTGGACAAAAGTCCACAAAAGGAGTTTTGCAGAGGTCAAGGCCTTGCTTTCTTCAAATGCGGTTCTAGCGCATTTCAATGAGCATTTGCCTGTATGCATAGCCTGTGATGCATCCCCTTATGGGATTGGGGCTGTGTTGAGTCACTTGAAGGTTGATGGGACACAAGTCCCTGTAGCCTACTATTCTAGGACCTTATCATCTGCTGAACGTAATTACGCACAGATAGATAGGGAAGCCTTGGCCATAGTGGCTGGCATAAAAAAGTTTCATGACTTTTTATATGGCCACCATTTCATGGTCTTTATAGACCATAAGCCACTGCTGGGGTTGTTTACAAACAACAAGCAAACCCCACACATCATCTCTCCTAGAATGCTGAGATGGTCAATTTTCCTTTCTGCATATGACTATACACTGGTTCACAAACCGGGCAAAGAAATGGGCCATGCAGATGGCCTCAGCAGATTACCTCTACAGCTAGTGGAGTCAGATCTTGCTCCAGCTCACCACATACTTTCCATTCAGGAGTTGCCTGAGTCTCCCCTCAATGCTAGGGATGTGGCTGCAGAAACAGCCACTGATCACATGCTAACATGCGTGCTGACATGGGTGCTGTCAGGGTGGCCTGACACGTGTTCTGGCACAGAGTTCCAGAGTTTCTGGAAGAGGAAGCACGAGCTATCCACCTTCAAGGGTTGTGTCCTCTGGGGTAGTAGGGTAGTGATCCCAACCTCATTGAGGACTAGAGTCTTGCTCTCTCTGCATGAGGGACATCCGGGTATAGTCCAGATGAATGCGCTTGTGCGCAGCCATCTTTGGTGGCCTGGGCTTAATCAGGCCAACTTGATCTGTCATGCCACATCAGCACCGTTTCATCCTTCATCCAATGGCCAAGCTGAGCGTATGGTGCGTACAACCAAAGATGCTTTAAAGAGGATCACTCATGGCAGTTGGCATCACAGGTTAGCTGACTTTCTTTTGTGCCACCGCACTGCACCTTGCACAGCTACTGGCAAGAGCCCAGCTGAACTCCACTGGGGTCGCAGACTCATTACAAAACTGGACAGGTTGCACCCAGACCGGGTGTCTTCACAGGTGTCACAGCCGCGGGCACCTAGGAGACTTCAGGTGGGCGATCTGGTCTGGGCAAGGAACTATGGACCTGGACATCTCTGGGTGACAGCAGTGGTATGCAAGGTCTCTGGGCCGCTGCCATACGAAGTGGCCTTGGATGATGGTTGGGTGATCCGTCGACACACCGACCAATTGCACTGGAGGCTTCCCAGCCACACTTCTGCTCCTGGCTCTGCTCTCGGGGGGGGGAGGAGGACCCCAATTACGATTGTGGACCACAGTCTCTCCGCAAAAGCGGAATTTCCCAGGCACCAGTAGGGGGTCTTGCCATGGAGGCGGCTCCTGACTCTGGCACTCCTGACCCTGGCACCGGCACCAGGTCAATGGGACATTGCTCGCAATCGGCTTTTAAGGCCAAGCCATCTGCTGGTCTTGGGCTCACGAGACAGCGCTCCCAAGAGGGGTCCATTGTGGATTTGGGGAATTCCACCCCACCAATGGACTTGGGGAATTCCACCCCACCAAGGAACTCTGGTCTGGGTTTAGAGGATCCAGCCAGTCAGCAGCATGGAGGGTCGCCTGAGTCTAGGGGGCATTAAAGTCCTGGTCTTCCTAGCCTGGCAGGCGAGCTGGCAGACCAGGCAATCACAACTGCACCAAGAAGGTCAGAGCGAGCCAGAGGTCCACCCAAGCACTTACAGGAGTATGTAAGACTCCTGTCAGTAGGTGGGCAGGCGTAGGGGTACTTAGAAATCAGAACATGCTCAAAAAGACAAATGTCTGATTTATAGTAATGCAAAAATAGCAAGTATTACTGTGCTGTGAATAAGGGAGTGACAAGGTATTAGATTTGTAGTATTGTAAAATATTAAGTACCATGTTTTGATCCAAGAGAGGAGGGGTGTTATGTCTTGGGCCTGCTGAGTCACTCAGCAGGTGCAGGAGGCTGCAGAGAGGCCCGGGCAAACCACATGAATGCCCGGGACCAGACAGGCTGTCTCCTGCCTTGCGCACATGCGCAAGGCAGGAGAAATGCCTTGCATTGATTGGCTGATACTGTCCCTGCAAAGGGGTATAAGAGCAATCCGCGCCATTTTGTTTTTGGTTCTGTTGTGAACTTAATAAAGACAAGACTGCTTGTTACTCCTGCCTCATCTCCATGCCTTTTACTTGGAAACAGAACAATGGGGATGCTGCAATGGTCGTAAGTGTGAAAAAGAGTCATAAGTCACTTTTTCAGTACCTTTGTAACCTTGAATGGTCACTAAATTAACTGTTGTAAATCGAGGACTACATGTACTTATTTTCTTTTGATTGCAGATACTCAAATCTGTTTGGAAGACGTCCATAAAGTGAGATGTTTATATGAGCACATCTGATCGGTGTGTTTACTTTGCATATTTTTTCTTTCACTTCCCCAGGGTCATGTGATCCTTTTTTGCAAATGCATAGGAAATCACCGTTATCCTGAGGTACAGATGTGCACAGCTGTAGGATCTCTACTGTTTCCTATTATGAATGTGCCTGCTCCTTTATTAGAAGTGGGGAATGCCACTTGTGGGAATGAAGAAAAAGAAAGAAAGCTAATTTGAACCACTTAGATTTACTAGATTGCTCAAGGACTTGCAATCTGAAGTTGCAGCCACCTCAATTTGACTGGGCTGAATTTCCTGAAAGCACAGAAGACATAATTTGATTTCTTCCTCTGCAGTCACCAACGTATTTACTGGAGAATAAAGCTTTATGCGTAGCAGCATCTCCCCCCTCTTTTTCCTCACAGGGGGCAGTGCCGATGTCTGGTGGGCTTCTCATGAAGGCCGCAAATGAACGACACGACACAAGGACTTCTCGTGATGAGAGCCTAGAGCATGTCTGGGATGAGTCGCCCAGAGCTGACTCCAAAACCCCCTTTTATTGTGTTTGGGATAAAATGGGTGGTTACAGAAGGTAAGAAGGTAACATATAGGTACGTGACAGTAAGCACACTTTACAAGCCTTGTAAATGGGAGGAGTGGGGGGAGTTTGCAAGAGGGGGTGAATGTTCTTTGTTCCTTCTTCATCCTTCTTCATTCTTCTTCCATCCACGTGGTACAGCTGCATGGCAGCCTACACATGGACTGCAAGGGCATTATTCCCACATCTCCTCTGTTTTTGTTTTTTCAGCAGGTGCGTCTGCAAGGCTTAAAAGTGATTGTTTTTCAGCTATTAATATGTCCTTCCCTTGAGAGAATAAAAAACCTTTGCATGTCTGTAGTAGGGAAGGAAGGCATTGAATGCAACAACACAACATAATCAGAAGAATGATTATGGCTATTATTGTAGGGATCAGAGAGCGCAGCCAAGAGCCGTCCGGTAACCAGGACCATAATGCCCCCCATATGTCAAGGGCATCAAGGCCGTCAGTCCTGAGGGGGTTGTTTCTGACCATGTCTTCCATGTATAATATCGTATGGGTGATATTTATTTCATAGTCATGGATGTATACACAGCAGTGAGAGTGAATCAGTGCACAAACTCCTCCCTGGGAGGCCAGAATGATGTCAAGGGCATAGCGATTCTGGAGAGCGACTTCTCTCACCTCACTCAATTCTGCATTTATCATTTCTAGGGATCGTATGGTTTGATTGAACATTGATACGGTCCAATTGTTTAAGATGTGTAGATCCCGGTAATTCATGGCAACGCCTAGTGCAGGTAGTATGCCTCTTGCTATTTGTGTACCCACATTTCCATCCAGTGTAAGACCTGAGCTAAGGGAGTCAGTGTCTCTTTTGTTTCTTAAGCGTATCTGGGGAAGTGAATCAATCTTGTAGATGGTAGGGATGACCCATCCTAGTGTGCATGTATATCCAACAATCTGTAGCATTTAGGACCTGTGCCACCTTCTGGATGTCTTTCATGTAGCTGTTCTGAAGCCATAGGTGGTCGCCTTTGCTGTGTCCGGGTTTAATGAACTTACTGTTACTGATGGTGGGGGCGAGTAAAAAGAGTAAAATAATAATAGATGCCATTTCCTGTGCGTGGAGAGTCAATTGCTGGTATGACTCAGCAGAGGAGTGTTGTCAGCGTCAGATGGGGGAAGATCCTCTGTTTTTGTTTTTGGGTGGTATGGACGGATGTGTCGACCAGGGATCCACAAAGTCTCGCCGTTGGCTTGGATGGCGGCGTAGCCTCGTCCCCAGGTGATGAGTTCAGCAGGACCTCTCCAGGTGGGGTCAGGAAGTCGTTTGAAGTACACCAGCGGTCTGGATGTCGCTGCAGCCGGAGAAGTGGAGAAATGACGAGTTGCTGCGGAGGTGGGTGGGGTGCCAGTCAGGTTCAGGAAGTTGATGGTGTATAAACACAGGTTAAGTCTGTTTTGCAAAGCTGGGAGGCTAGGGGGAATTTTCCCCTGTGTCTGATTGTATCTATCCAAGGCATGTTTTAAGGTTTGATTGGCACGCTCTGCCAATGCCTGACCCTGGGAATTATAGGGAATTCCAAATGTATGGGTGATGGACCATTGATTACAGAAGCTAGCAAAAGCTGAGCTAATGTAAGCTGGGCCATTGTCTGTTTTGAGTTCTTTTGGGCATCCCAACGTTGCAAAAGTCCGAATACAATGATTGATTACATGTTTTGTGGCTTCGCCCCTTTGAGGGGTTGCCATGATGAAACCTGAGTAGGTATCAATTGAAACATGGAGATATTTCCATGGGGCAAAGGATGGGTATTGAGTGACATCCATTTGCCAAATTTGGCAGCATTCAGTACCTCTGGGGTTCACTCCCATGGGCAGGGAGTGAGCCTGTTTGCTGCAAGAGGAGCATTGCTGAACAATAGCAGTGGCTTCTGATGCGGAAATGCCAAATTGTTTAATGAGCGCTTTTTTGTTTTGATGAAAATAAGAGTGACTGTCCCAAGGGGAGACAGGTGAAAGTGTCAAAAGAGAGGAAGCAGAGGCCGCAGCATCTGCTACATTGTTCCCTTCCTGGAGAAAGCCAGGAATTCCAACTACCGAGGCATACACACATTGTTTTATTCCTACACACGCAAATACTTACTCTCTAACGTTCCAACATTTCTCTCTTCACTCTAGTCCCAGATCTCTTCCCCTGTTCATTCTAACTTTTTATCAAAAATGATGAACCCACTGTATATCTGACAGTTGGATTAGGTTAAAAGGTTCTGTAGAGAACTGTTGAAAAGCGAGAATGGCCGCAGCCAATTCAGAGCGTTGAGCAGAGGTTTGAGGTGGGGTGGTCTTTGTGTGCCATTGATTGTTGAGGTACCATGCACAGGCACCTTGAGTTTTACTACCATCTGCAAAAACAGTGATAGCCTGAGAAATGGGTCCTGGTTTTTGTTGTGTGTCCCATTCCACCGGGATTTGCCTAAGGAGCTGAAGGCGGGGGTCTGGTGGAGGGTGGCAGGAGATGACCCCAGGCCATTCAGTGAGTGCAGACTGAAGAGGTTCAGAGTTAGTATACATGACTTCCCATGTAAACAAAGCACAGGGAATGTAAAGCGTGAGAGGCTCAGTTCCAGCCAAGGTTTTGGATCTGAGTCTCCCTTTAGTAATGAGAGATGCAAATTGAGATGGTTTTTGATTAATGGTGTTTCTAGGGGTGTGTGGTAAATGTAGCCATTCCAGGATGTGCACAGAGCCTGAATTTTGGGCAATAGCTGCTGTTGGAAGGTGCAGAGTGTTAATGATTATGAGCGAAAGAGGCTCATTGGGGACACAGCGGTCCACCCATTGAGCATGTATGGCTTGTTCTATTTGGGAAAAGGCCTCAATCTGTGTTGATGTAAAAGCAATAGGATCAGAGGGAGATTTGCCCTGTGCCAGAGCAGAAAATAAAGGTGTCAATTGGGTTGTAGTGATGCCAAAATATGGACGGATCCAATTGATAGTTCCTAGATATTGTTGAAGCTTCACTAAAGTAGTTTTGTGAGGTAGATGTAAAGATGGAAATGTTGGTGCTGCATGGGAAGAAAGCAGCTTGTGACCAAGGTACAAAAATGGCTCCTTGTGTTGTATTTTTTCAGGAGCTATTTGGAGACCCCCTTGTGAAAGTAGGTAGGTGAGTGTGGGTAAGGTGGTACTGACAGTGCCCGCAGGCCCTGGCGCAGTGATGAGAATGTCATCCATGTAGTGGTAGACCAGAAAATGAGGGAATAGTTTGCGATAGGGTTCTAGAATTGTATTGACATATAGCTGACATATGGTGGGGCTATTTAGCATGCCTTGAGGAAGGACACGCCATTGATAGCGAGAAGTGGGCTTTTGCATATTTATTTCAGGCACAGTAAAGGCAAACAAAGGCATATCATCGGGGTGCAGTGGTATGGAAAAGAAACAATCTTTGAGGTCTATAATCATGAGGTCATGGTTCTTTGGAATGAGGTTAGGATTTGGGAGGCCGCATTGTAGCGCCCCCATAGGTCGAATAATGGTATTGATGAGGCGAAGATCATTTAATAAGCGCCAATTACCAGATTTCTTTTTTATCACAAAAACTGGAGTGTTGTAAGGACTCAAAGAAGGTTCAATATGTTGTAAGGCAAGTTGTTCAGACACAAGAGAGTGTAAAGCGGAAAGTTTTTCAGAGGTAAGAGGCCATTGGTCAATCCATACTGGAATATCAGATTTAAGAGAAAGGCGGAGAGGAATAGAAAGAGACATTATTCNCAAATTGGTGCATGAGATCACGCCCCCACAAGTTGATATGAAGGGGGAGGATGACTGGTTTGATGTGTGCAACTGCAGATGTCTGTGGAGAAGTCACAGATAGCCAATCTTTGCTGATTTGTGCAGCTTGAGTTCCGCCCACCCCTCTGACTGCTGGAGCCGGTTCAAGTGGCCACTGTGCAGGCCATTCAGAGGTTCGAATTACTGACACATCAGCGCCGGTATCTAGAATGCCAGAAAAACGGAGACCTTTAATATGGAACTCCATGGCTGGGCGGCTATTTTGCATTGTTTTTGTTATAGCCAATAATTCAGTGGGAGCTGGCAATGGCTCCACGGGGGGGAGAACTAATAGTTTACCAATTACTTCCCCTTTTTGTATTGAAATTGGGCAGTTTGGGATAAATTCAATGTCAGTTGTGACAGTATCAGAGCATACTAAAAGTGCAGGAGGGAAAAAACCACCCCGTAGGGTGAATGACTCATGAGGCATAACAAGAGCGGATGTGGAAGAGGGGAGGGGTTGCAACAAGGAGGTGGAGATAGAATAGGGCGTGTTAGGAAAATCTGCATCAAGAGAGATGTCAGCGATAAGAAAGACTGAAGCTGGAAAAGAAGCAGAAAATGGCAGAGGTTGTCGCACAGCCTTTGAGGCAGGGCTGGCTGTGGGCCCCATAATTAGTTTTCCGACTGGGCGGATCAAATAGAGCCAGATCGACATTGATTAGACCAATGAAAACCCTTCTTGCATTTTGGACAAACTGTTTTTGGTTTGCTGGAATTATTATTTTGGTGCGATGCTCCACCTCCCGGGGCCCTGCACTGAGCTTTGAAATGACCAGGTTTTCCACAATTAAAGCAGTTTCCAGAGGGACGCCCGCCTTGCTGTATTGCTGCTGCAAGGGCATCCATAGAGAAGGCACTAGTTCCTACTATGCGACAAGCTTTCAAAAAGTCAGCGAGAGTAGCATCTGTTTTAGCAGCAAGAGGTTGTAAAATACGTTGGCAATCAGCATTGGCATTTTCATAAGCAAGTTTTAAAAGTAATTCTGCGCGAGCAGTGGTATTAGTAATTTGTCTATCTATAGCCTTTTGTAAATCATCTATAAAATCAGAAAAAGGTTGGTTAGGACCTTGGTGGATTTTTGAGAATGAAGCAGAGGGAATGCCATTTGAATCTTCTGCTTTATCAAGGGCTCTTAGAGCGGCAAGACTAACAAGCTGAAAGACCGCTTGAGGAGATCGCATCTGCGCTATAACTGAAGCAAAAGCGCCGGAGCCTGAGATGTGATCTGGCGTGATGGCAGCCATGCCCGCAAATTGAGCAGTGGACTGAGCTTCACGGAGAAAGTCAGACTCCCACACGACATACTGAGGGCCAGTTAAAAGCATCTTCAGAATGTCTCTCCAATCTTGTGGAGTCATGATAAAGGACCCTGCTAGGGCATTAAAGAGTCCTTTTACGTATGGAGCTTGAATGCCGTATATAGAAACAGCAGTTTTTAGATCTC